CGTGTCTGCCTCTCTACTTACTTGACTATCGCGATTCGAAAAGAGCATAGATTATCAGCCGGTTCGATCAAATTTCCGTCTTCCACCCGTAGCTTCCGTCCCCTTCTCTACCAGACAGCGTGCACTTTCGATCTTCCAATCGCGGCCCACTGACTGTGAAGCTTTCAGAGAAAGAGGGAACCATTAGCTTTCGGCTTCTTAAGCCAGTTGAACCCAATAAGAGAGCGAGCTAACTTTCGTCTCGAGTGGCCTTTGGAATTCTAGACTAGATAATGTGAATGCACTCGGACTTGATTGCCATGCGACTGAACAGTGATTAACCCTCCAGAGGCCGCGACCGAGTCAATTCAGACATCTATTTCTATCAGCGTCGATTACGATACTGTCTCTACACTAATTGACACATCACAACTATGAATAATACGTTCCAAGTACACTTCCACTCCTCGGAATCATACAAATAAATTGTATCATCGTAACGCTACAATTTTCTACATCTATACTTACCATCAAGCGATTTTCATAGATATTAAATCGGTTACACTCGTTGCGAGTCAGTGTATAAATAAGTTAAATCCGTGCCAAGCTGTAGAATTTCTAGAGGATGAAATACGTATTCGGGTTGGTCGCGGGAAAGGCAGAGCATTGCAACCATGCGGATTCTTGTGGCGCGCATGATGGTTCCGCAGAATTGGCTGGTCTCGCGTCGAAGTTTCGCATCGCCCCGAGGGGCCAGCGAATCACATGCAAAATAGCAGAGCACCGATACCATCCTTTGACGCTCACGAAGCGTTGCATAATTGAGCGACTGGCAAGCGGAGGAGCGTACGGTTTAACATTTGGCATAGTTATGGCATCGCTGTCCTCCGAACGGGTCCGAGTTTCTGGAAGACCGTTAATGGAAACGCGGTCGAAGGATCGCTCGAAACCATACGGAATTTCCCATGCAGAAAATCGGATATTGGCCAGGGAAATGCGATTCGCGGTGCGCATGTTTTTCCCCAGATTTCACGAGAATTTTTATCATCGTCCTGTGTGTTTGTTCAAAAATCTTTTTTATTATTCTGTACAAAATATTAGAAGGATTACATGAATTAGTGCATTGAAATCACTGATTATTTTAAGACTTAGAAGATTAGTAAACAATTTTTGTTATTTACTTATTTTGTGCATTGAACGGTACAAGAATCTTTTGCAGTATAATTAGGGATTTATAAACCAGTGAAATATGGTTTAATATTACGAGAAACTAGTGTACTTAGTGGTTGATGAATACGCCGGGTTTCTTGTTCTCTATGAGCTGCCAGTAGTTACAGTAGTTGACACAGAATTTACAATACAAAATATATCTGCTATAGTACTTTCTCGGGCGACATGTACGACATACTTGTTTCATTGAGAAAATCCGGTGCAACGATCAATCTCGCAAACGGGATTGTAGAGCAGATCATTTATAGCGTATTGTTACTACTGAATCGCGTATATCTTATCCAGTCCGAGTTTCATTGAAGCCGAAAGAACTGGCTGCCGAGATAAATCAGCAGGAAGTAAGAACTTGTACCGGGCAGCGGTTAACTTTCAAGTAATTGTCACTTTCATTTTTCTCTCCGGACATTAGTGGCTGGGTATCATTAAATCTTAGCGTTAGAAAAGTCGACGTAACTTTCAGTATCAATCGTTTTCAATAAAATACTACGTTAACAACTTCCTGCCGCCTAACTGCTCCCCGTATGATAATTATCCGTCGATTGCGCAAGAAGCGTAGAACTCGATAACGATTTTAAGATATGCGAGGAGTGAAATTATGAGAATACGAAAAAAGATTCATATGGAGATACATGGGTAAAAATTCCTCCATAATATTTTATTGCATAATTTCAATGAAATTATACTCGACTATTTCTCAAAACGTTCATGAATTATACATGTGTAGATAAAGCATGTAACAAACGTATAAAATCTTGAAACAGGTATACAAAACCTTGTAATCTCATAAAATCAGTAAATGGTACAAAGCATTTACTTCTTCATAAGAATATCCGGAAGCTTTAATGCTTTTTTTTTATGCATTCCGGAGCAGCGCAGTGAATACATTCCATTTGTTAGAAGTAACGAAAGAGCTATGCGACGCGGAGGTGTGCAAAAGACGTAGGTACGTAGGAGCCGGGCTAATTAATGCAAGACAGGGAGTGTGTCCACGGAAAAAGCGTGCAGTTCGAAACGCGACTGTTTAATCAACGGCTTCATTCACTGGAGTCTGAAGTATTGCGAGCGGTTTCCGTTCGACGCGCACCGAGAAACAGAGGTCGCCACGGCGATTCGCCGACAATGAACAAGCAAATAATGCGTGCATCGCCGGCCGACCCGCGGTACCGGTTCGCGGACAATACGTTGCATAATCGGCAGAACTAATGTACGTAATGTAACAAGGCACGCGGGGCCGCGTTCGGTTTTATCGTTAGACAAAACCTAACAGACTCGACGCAACGGGAATAAGAATGGCGAGTGGACTAAACGTCGTCTGTCAGCCGGCGGTACGGTTTACGTAACCGTGGGGCGAAAGGAGCTGCGAGGAATCGAATCGCCCGGGTATTGTGCAACCGTTGGGCTACGTCGTGTTAGGCCGCATCGTGGTTCTTCGTGAAAGACGTTAGCTAATTCCCATTAGCGTTCCTGGCTCGCCCTAATGTCCATTACGGGGATTGAGCGAAATCACGACAGGTCTTTCAGCAAGGGAGGCGGGGGTGGAAATCGTTTGAGGAAATTGAAATGATTGACGCGCAATGGAAATTAGATATTTAATGAAATCGTCCAATTGTTTTTTAATCAACTAAATTCTAACGTTTATTAATCCTCCTTAGCCAGTCCAGATATTTAAATCGAATCTTTACATGTTTTTATGTATTAATTTTGAATTACGTGTACAGAAATTACTATGGATTCTATTATGTCAATCTAATTACATTTTCATCTTTCTCTAGCTACCGTGTTAAATATTTATAGCAAGCGTCAGATGCTATTTCTTGCAAACGCGTTAAACATCGGCGAGACCCACTGTGAGAAAATAATCGACATATATAAGGAAAGAAACACGTTCCACCGTCCCGTGGAGAAAATGAATGAGAATGGCTTCTATGGAAACATGAATTAATGTCACGTGTGGTGGGTTTCTAAGAAAGGAATCTATTAGCACGACTTACTGACAGAGAAATATTAATGTACACCATTATCACGGGGACAACCCGTGGAGCATGATTTGTTGCATCAGGAAACTAATGAGACTCGATCCTATGGAAAGATCAATTAGTTTCAACGCCTGAAAATTGAGCGAGCCGAGGAAATCGAAAAAATTTGTTTGAACCAGCTATCACGGGGAATTAGTGGGAACGACTGAACCAACTTGTATGAAGTGAAACAGTTTATGAAACCTCGACTCGTACCGAGTAATTAGCGCAGATTAAAAATTACCATTTATATACAACTTTAGACACTGGAGAATTTATCAAGTTTTCTGTCACATGAAATCTGTACAAACCAGTATTACTAGGCGTAGGACATACACGTTAGTACACAGGAAATATCAAGACGTAAGTCTATAATAAAACTGTTTTATAATTTAAAATAGAATTACGAATGATCCTAATATAAATGAAACGACCCTATTCAGAATTTTATCCATGAAACCGAAAGATCGTATCTAACTAAATCATTGACAGTTATTACTTTCCGGATATTATTCTCCCAAGTGATTTAAGCAAGCTCGTGAATAGGTTTCTCTTATTTAAAACGCGGAACGAGGAAACGAAACAATCGAGCTGTGTCATAAAATAATTCAGCTCCGGACGGTTGCTGCATTCCGATCCTGTCGCTATTCCTCTCTGGAGAGGTGCAATACATTCATCAAAACTAGCGCGCGCGCGCGCGCACGGGGTCATAATCAAGATTCGAAACGAAACAAGCCGAATGGGAATGGCTCCGAGGCGAAGTTCGACACGGCCACTTGAAATTCAGTTGTGTTAATTCCTGCGGATTTTCGACCGCCCTCCGGGGCCGCGGTTTCAGTTCGCCTCACTCTCCCCGTTCACCATTACTATGTATCACGCCGTACCCATGCAACAAACCTTACCCCCTTCGCTCCTTCGAATTTGTGTGCGTCTACAGGTCGTCTCAAATACGCATTGCATATTCTTTACAATTCTTATGTACTTTTGAATTTTTTATTCATTTAGTGAAAAAGACAATTTTAATTTACTTGCCATTAATTTTATCTTTTGATCAAGAAATTGAAAATTAGCCGCATTGGGTAAAATCTACAGATTTCAATTTTTTTATGTCCTGGCAAATATGAGTGAATTTAATGATTGAATACGTCTACACAGAAGCTCCCTAAAAATATAGTTGGATGAATTCAAATGCAAACTCTCAGTGAACCGTTTCGCCCTGGGAACGTTCAGCTGATGGGATCATTTGGATCAGCCTGTATATGCGAGCGGGACGGTTCGCGAATCCATTAGCCGTGTTCGTCGGCTCGTTTCCCTTCGGGCGACCGACGTCGGGGGAGAGCGAGCGAGAGAGGAACCGAACGAACACTCCGATTCCTATTTCAAAGTGCTCGAACGACAAGCGCGCGATTAGTCGTTAAACGCTTGCTGAAAATTCGGGATCAGGCAGCCGGAAGAATGCTTTTCGCATCGACGCTCGAAAAGTGTCATCCGGCTGCGTCGCGCCGCTCTCTTGCGTACTTTAAACAACGGTGGAGTGAGATTAGGGTGGCTCGTTGCATAGCTCGATGACTCGCCACGCTGATATAGCCTCTGATGATGCGACGCAAAGTGCGCTCTCTCACAAAGAGACGTCGATAGATATTCTTCGATCGAATACAATATTAGCAAAAATTACTTGACGTATAATTGATTGCATGAGTAATTTAATTTTTAAAAATATAGCCAATTAATAAGTAATATTTTTTTATTTTACAAAACTTACAATCATTGACAACATTTTTAGCTGTTTCAGTTAACAAATACATAGAATGTACAAATTCCTAAATGATTACGATAAACAAACCGAGATCCGCGTATGTAATCATTAAAATCGTTCCGTATCAGTCTCAGCATTTTAATCACCTTGCGAGCGAATTAATAAAACGCGGGACCCTGTCGATATCTGTTTTAATCGCAAGTACATTCTGCGGAAAGAATACGTACGCCCGATACGAAATTTAATCGCCCGCGTATCACAGGTTCCGTCAATTAAGCATCCGTTGGTCCTCCTCGTATGGTAACGGCACTCATCCTGGATTCGATCTAATTCTCTGATTTAACCAGCACGCACGCTCGAAACTTGTACGGATCAGAGTAACACGCGTTATCGGTGCTTACCGTTCTGCGCACGTATTTATACGAAGAATCCAAAACGGATCCGGATAATTGACGCGGATAATTCGACGGATTAGCAGGGCGCACGAAACGAACGGAATGGAATCGATGGTAATTGAAATAAACTAAACGAGTCACGGTTACTGCGGCGATAAACTTTTACTGCGACGGTAAAAAGTTTTATTTATGCCTATCCCATTCGCATGTAGACACCGACTCGCCGGGAATATTCTAACCGGGACGTCGGTAATATGTACGAACAATCAATCCCGAGGCTCATTCCTGAGATCCCATAGAGAAGACTGTTGGGTTTTACTTTACCAGTAACGATATTAGACGCCGTTGGGTTCTCCTTTATGAGAGCGTTCGTCGATGCTCTGCCAAGGTGCGACAAAGACTTACCTGAAACATAAAAAGGAGAGCATTAGATTAGGTTGGACGTCAGTCATTATATGCATAATAGTTAGAAAAAGTATTCCATAATATAACCAGCATTTTGTAATCTTGATTAAAATTAACTTTGACACATCAAATCGATTGACTATAATCAGTATCCATCAATGATACCCAACAATAAAATTTACAACAGCTTGCTTGTACACGTTCTACATTTATTTTGAGCAGTAAATAAAGCCGATCACGTGGAATGATGAATTCACTGCGTCCACGGTAACGTACAAGCCACGAACTATTAATCAACTTTCGCTCTGGGTCTAACGCCGGACAACGAGCCTGTCAGCCTGTCCATTGTCCGACGGGACAAACACGGAAGCGGACCGAAGAAGCGTTTATTATATCTGACCGAACTAATTACGTTCGTCAAGTGGAAAGTAAGTCGGCCGTCGCGTCGAGGATAGCGGGAGCACGACGCGAGGACACTCTGGGACACGTTCGAACAAACTTGCCCGTTACATATTGATTGGTCCAGCCGGCGGCCCGGCAGACAGGCCGCCACTCTCTCTCTCTCTCTCTCTCTATATATATATATATGAGTTCCCAACAAACTTATTCGAAACGCGATTCAACAGGTTTTCGTGTGCAGCGTGTAAACATCGGTTTGTTCATGTTTCACGGCCGCTGGGAATTTCTGACCCCCGGTTAGATTGTTAAACCATAATCGGAAGCGCTGACGCGATCGGAACTCTATCACCAGCTATGATTAATTAACCGTATTGTTCTCAGTGAAAGATATTCAACTATGATAATGTTCGTTCCGAGCTTCGAGTATCTCTCAGACTATTGTTTGGCGTAATGCATATCTTTCACTACTGTTTCCAATAGTTTCGTACAAAAATTGAATGCGTACACAATTACATGTACAAAATTCATAACGGCGCATTTAACACTAGATTGCCCAAGGAAGTCATGAAGAATAATTCTTACAGATTGACGCAACAGGTATGAAAAATTCTAAGACGACAATTTAATTATATACAATATAAAAAAATAAGAAATATTGAAGATATATTGCATATTGCTAAATGTTAAAACAATTCGCAAATAACATTTGCAGGCTCCTCGCGTCAGCGAATCTTAAGATACGTTTGATCGCAGTTATATCTCGAATTCGTAGCCCGTAGGCTAGCTGTCAGCGTAATCCACACGGGGCACAACCGCGACTAACGAGCGTAGCACGAAGATGATGCACGAGTATTATCTGGTGAATGGGTCGCAATCTCAGTCCTAGATCTGTTAGTGTAGGCAGGCAAGTGCGCAGTCGAGGTACCACCGCCGTCGTCGCGAACCTCTTCGGGACAGCGCAGCGTGACGAACGTAAGCGGATGTGATGCAAGAGATCGTCGTCGTTCCGCGCCGAGAACTTGTAAAGCTCGACGACGCTGAAAAAGAACCGCCAACCCCGTCTCCTGTCGCGTGACAGAGCTCGGAGAGGGCTCGTTTGTTCCCAGCCGTTTTCTCTCTTTCCTCTCCCGTCCCGGCTCCCTTTCCACGTTGATTCTACGTGCACCAACCCTTCCTCGCTAACCCGTCATTATTTTAATAAACACTGTTGGGGTAATACTTATCAACCCCCTAAAATTTTTGCGGGTTATCTCCCGAGTCCCGATTTCGGGCTATCTAATCCAGGAAGATAATTTCGATTTATAACTGAACAGAATTTAGAAATTTACGGTGAAACCTAACAATTAGATTGTTATCTGTTAGCATCTTTACGGGAATTCACGTGAACCGTTAATCAACGAATCCGGAGATCGCAATCGCTAGTCTCAAGAGGAGAAGCTAACAGAGAAACGAATCGTACAAACCCCGTGGCGTCGCGGCGTGTCGAGTCGGTCCGTTTGCTCGGCAGTTAACGAGTGCAGCTCGACGAGGAGGAGGACGATACACCGCGCCGAGCAACCTGTGCACGCATTATGCGCTGAATGAGGCGGCAATCTCACCCCTAGATCTCGGCTACAGCAACGGCACGGCATGGCAGTAGCAACGAGGTGAACAGTTGCCGGGCCGAGTCCTTTTCAAGGCCTACCTACCACCGTACCGGGGTGAACTTATCGCGGAACCGACCATTTGCGTTTCATGAGCTTCCTCCGCGATGTTAGAAACCGTACAGTCGAATGAAACGCGGAGTAAAAAATTTATCTCGTGCAACCGAGTAGAGGACGATAGAGAGAGAACTGATTACGTTGCTGGGTTTTCCTTCGAAACTCCGTGGAACATTTGTTGTTCGTCTCGGTCGAGTAGGTATATACACGGGACTGATTGAGAGCAAGCTTGATAAGCGTGACGGAAGTACGTGAACGTTGGAAACAGGAGAAATTGTCAACTCTAGAAACGTACTTACAGATAGGGTTAAGAGAAATCTCGTAGAAAATGTAATGTCACGTAAGAGTATAGTTGAAACAAAACGATTCTAATCTTAATAAGAACCATGAAGAATAATTCTTACAGATTGACGCAACAGGTATGAAAAATTCTAAGACGACAATTTAATTATATACAATATAAAAAAATAAGAAATATTGAAGATATATTGCATATTGCTAAATGTTAAAACAATTCGCAAATAACATTTGCAGGCTCCTCGCGTCAGCGAATCTTAAGATACGTTTGATCGCAGTTATATCTCGAATTCGTAGCCCGTAGGCTAGCTGTCAGCGTAATCCACACGGGGCACAACCGCGACTAACGAGCGTAGCACGAAGATGATGCACGAGTATTATCTGGTGAATGGGTCGCAATCTCAGTCCTAGATCTGTTAGTGTAGGCAGGCAAGTGCGCAGTCGAGGTACCACCGCCGTCGTCGCGAACCTCTTCGGGACAGCGCAGCGTGACGAACGTAAGCGGATGTGATGCAAGAGATCGTCGTCGTTCCGCGCCGAGAACTTGTAAAGCTCGACGACGCTGAAAAAGAACCGCCAACCCCGTCTCCTGTCGCGTGACAGAGCTCGGAGAGGGCTCGTTTGTTCCCAGCCGTTTTCTCTCTTTCCTCTCCCGTCCCGGCTCCCTTTCCACGTTGATTCTACGTGCACCAACCCTTCCTCGCTAACCCGTCATTATTTTAATAAACACTGTTGGGGTAATACTTATCAACCCCCTAAAATTTTTGCGGGTTATCTCCCGAGTCCCGATTTCGGGCGGGGATCGTCGTTATCTTTCGTGGAAACGATTACCAGCAATTCAATTAATGATCACTTTTTAGCTGCTGATTCGAGACTCGATTTCGACAGACTTAAAGGTGAAGTGCCTGGGTTTCGTATTTATAACTCAACTACACATCATCAATTTTTTGAATCAAACACTTTTAGAGTCAATTATTATTTTTTATATTACACACGACGATTTATTAGATTTAAAGCCAAAAAGCAGTGAAAGTCGTAAACAAAAATCTTATCGCGTTCAGCCCCATGCGCCGGGGTGAACGAACCAACCACTCCAGGGCAGAGTCCATAAAGCTCCGCCGCTTTGGCAAACATGGGCAATTTTCCTCCTATCACGTGCAATTTGATCGCCGATTACCGTTCGTGCATCCCCTGTATTCGCGAGACGTACAAACGTACCAGGTGGATTAAAAAGGAGCACCGATCTCATCGTCCGTCGGTCGGTTCAGTCTCGTGTTCGCGGCGAGACGTTCGAGTGCCCAGCGAAATTGCAGAGCCAACAATCCAACGTTTACTTAATTTTTCCCTAATAAATCAGCCGGACGATTAACCGAAGCGTTTAGTCGAGGGGTGGCTGTACATGATCCCTTCTGAGTGCCGCAGAGCCCCGACCATTTGCAACGGTAACGAGTGCAATCCCATCCGGCCGAGCTAGCGGCGTGCACTCACGCACGCGTTACTCCATGAATGAATTACAAAGGTCCCTTTACACGTATCACTTGCGTGCCCGTTTGATTCCATGAATATCCGGTTAGTTATGATGAATGATACTGTCCTCTCGCTTTGGCTCGCAAGAAGAGCCTTGCATTTTAAGTAGAACTAATTATTTATTATGTCCGGCGTGCTTTAAGTAGCTTTAGAAAAATGACACTTTTACCTGTAGCAATCTGTTATAATCACACTTACTCGAAATCTGACGTTCATAAGACACGCTTAGAAAACAGTGTTTCTTCCAGCTAATCTGTCATTCTAATTGTATTTACGAAAATTGATTGCATCGGACAGTATTTAAAATGAAGTTAAACCATGTGTTCCCGACAATCTCATTCCGGCCCATCAACTTTTTTATCGACACGATTCACGTCCGAGATAAAGGGTTGCGAATTTTCTAACAGACGACGGAGCTCCACCCAGGATCGCGCTAAGAATCGCATAATCGAGCAGGTGTTAAATTATTGATGCGCTGCACAGACGCGTAGTGTACACAGACTGTGTAGCGTTATCCAAGGTGGAAAGGAGAAAACGATGCAGCCGCGCGAACGCCAAGTCGATATCGCATCCTGGCCAGCGAGAACCAATTACTTTGGGCCGCGTTAGACCGGCCGGCCACGGTAATTACTCCGAGTGCAATGTTCATGCATTGGATGTAAATTGGACGGGCTAAGTTCGTCGGGTCCCGCTGGGTGATTTAGATACCCGCTCCGCGGGTGTTCCGCTCTCGGCCCCGGCTCTTTTCTCCACTCCTCGAGTGTTTTTCTTCTCTCCTTCTCGTTTCGGCCCTTTCCGTGGATAGCCCCGCGAAGATCGAGAGAAAGATTAGAGGGATTGTTAATGCGTTTCGTGACGATGTCTTAATAAGATTGGCCGTTCGAGCTTGCCGGGCTATTTGCGTAATTGGAAGATGAGAATCGAACGATCGCGTTTAAGAAATATCAAGCCGTTGCGCAGGTACTGCGAGTATTTCTTTAATCTTGAAAAACCGAAGGCCAGTAGGAAGCTATAGAAGTAATATGAGAAACGAAGAAATTATGTAAATACATATTTCAAATATAAAATATGAAGTTT